TAAGTACATAAATACATTTTGTTAAGTCATTAAGCTTGTAAGAAATAAGAAATTAATTAGCATTAGCATGTTGAATCGCTTAGGTGTCAGTAGCTAATATGGCTAATTGACATTTAATAAGTCTTGCCATCTAATTTACTATGAATTACATTAAATGTTAATTAATTGCTTAGTTATTCTTCACACAATTATTATATGCTAATGTGAATTTAATAGCTTATTATTTGGATGATTGTCCTAATGACAAACAAGTTACCTGTTAACTCTGGTTTGAACATATTCAAAACATTTCTAAAATCACTCTCTTAAACATAATCAATTAATAGATTAATTAATATAATTTGAAACCATTGAAAAAATAGCCATCAGTTTACTGAGCCACAACAATCTAAATTGGCAGAGCTTTCAGGACTTGATCTGCTATCAGCAGCCATAACATAGAATATCATTACCTATTACATTAAGCCATTTCCTGGTGCTGATAAACTAGCACACGTTATAGTCTGTTATTTTTGGCCCATGTTTAAATCTCAGAAGTTTCATTAACAGAGTAATGTGGCTGACAGAAAAGCAGATGTGATTTCGGCTGCATTAGTAGAAGCACAATATCTAAAACAAAGGAGGTGATAGTCCTGTTCTTTCCTGTGCTGGTCTGACTGTATTTGGTCAATTCTGGGAATGATATATTTAAAGTGGCATAAATTATGCCACGTGAAGAATTCATAAATAAATTGAAGATGTTTAGCCAGATTTAAGAGAAAATTCCTGGGAAGACACAATCTCTCTCTTCAAATATATGATGAAGTTTGTGGAAGATAAATTAGTTGTTATCTTTTTAAACTTATTGACTCCACTGAGAATATTAGAATCATAAGTTTGAAGTTAGAGGAACAGATTTCGGGCTCAGTCAGAGCTGTCCGAGGAGGGAATGAGCTGCCTCTGGAATGATGAGCTCCCTGTCACTGGAGGAGTTCAAGCGTAGTCTGCAATCACTTGTGCACAAGAGATTGGAGCTTGGGTGGGTGGCTGGAGGTGACCTTTCCAATGTCTTTTAAGGCAGACATTCCACAATTCTCGTGATAAATTGTTTCCCCAATACAACTCATTGGCCTGAATATAGCCTGGAGCCCACAGAGACCACATTATGGGCTCACTTTCAGCTCTAGAAAGAACCTCACAAGTATGCATAAGCACTTGGAATTCAGTTCTGATTGGTCACCTGGCAATGAACATTGCCTCTCCATTGTGGTGGAAAAGACTGACTTGGGAGGATCATCTGATGTGTTGGTTTCCCCTGGGTCTCCTGCTTTGTGGCTTCCCTTCAGGTGTCCTCCAGCAGCCCACGGTTTGAGGCAAAGCTTAGAAGGGATCAGCTGAGCCACTGGAGCCATTTATCTTTGACAGGACAGGACGGGAGAAAGGGCAGGCGCCTGCCAGGTAAATAAACTTAATGAAGTTTGTAATAGACTGCAGAAATATCAGCCTCATGATCAAAGCAGGACTACACCACAAGAAACTATTAATTAAGACTCTCTCACTATCTCCCTCGTCCTATTTCCTTCACTGTCGTGGTAACCACTCTAATTGTTCCCAGCCTCTCAAGGATTCCAGGGCGGCTTTTCTTTCCCAGATTTCAAAGGGTTGTCGGGGGGTCAAGTGTCTGGTGCAATCACTGGCAAGCCCTGAGGGTCCCTATGTTCCCAGCTTTGTCCTCTGTAAGAGGGAGAGGTGTCTTGTGCCAAGCGCCTGCTCCCCCATGCCCCACGCACACAATGTTCTGCCCTAGAATGTCCTTGCTGACCTTCCAAGCCTGACTTAAAATTCCTCTCTTCAGGAAGCCCTCTCTGACTCTGACCATCTGCCCTTACCCCTTACTGCCTGGTCATGCTGACACTCGCTGGTCCCTGCCGCTGGATCAGGGTACCAGACTTGGGTCTGTTATTTTGACCTTGAAACTATTCCTGTAGTTGGGGCATTTGTATCTGGGCAAGGGTAACATTAAATATTCAAAATATTTAATAGCCAGTATAGTAATATAAAGCAGCACACAAGTTAACATATCAATAATTTCTAAATCTATTCCTTTTAAATGTATTTTCTAATTTAAACTGCTTACCAAGTGGTGCAAGCTGTACTACAAGTCATTCATCAAACAACTCCAACAGCATCCTATTTGTTGATTTTTTTTAAAGTTGTTGTGATCTTTTGTTTGATGCAGTTGTCACTAGCTAAATGATGGCCCTCTCTGTCTATGACTGGACATAGAGAACTGCATCAGCTCTTCCAATAATCTTCCTATTCAATTGCTAGTCCAGAGGTCCCCAGGGTCAGATCTTTGTGCAAAAGTCACACCATGGTTGGATGTGCACCTGATGCCAACGCTTACCACGTGACCTAAATCTGAGGACCTGTCTTAGGTCCCCCAACAATGCTGCCGCCAACCCCGCCTACCCTATGCCCTCTTCCATGTCTCATCAACACTAGGCCACGTTGGAGAAGGGGGCAAAGGCTGTGTACACCCCTATGATTGATCTCAGTCAGCTCAGTAGCTGCCCAAGGTCCCCAGATCTGCTCCCCACTGTTCTCAGACCTCATTAACCACCATTGTGGCCACCTCTGGGCAACATCAAATGGTGGCTCAACAACTTATACTATTTACCAACTAGCATGGAAGTGGCTTAATATTTCAACAACTGGTTTGCTTTACGGACGCATTCACATATCCTGCCTTCCCATGTACCCTGTCACCCCACTAAGAGCAGGTGTTCTAGAAAGCATCTGCCCCTTTCAAAAGAGAAAGCAAGTCTGCAAAGGGTCCCAAGATAGCAAAAAAATGACAACGCTGTTTTGCCAGCCCATCGGGTCTCAAAAATGATCCCCACATTCTCTGTCCCCCAACACATCTCTGGACAAGTAGGAAATCCAGTCTCCATTCTCTGCTCCCCCAGTATACATCTCCCCATGAAGCACCAACCAATTAATATATTCTGATTTAGGAATATAATATAATATAATATAATAGTCCCATGGTTCTCTTCCTGAAAGTGTCAGAGGTAATCAGAGGGGCCCACAGACAGGGGCAGCCTCAGTTCCTGTATAAATTTCTACCTGCTCAGGAGATTTATAGAGACAGATGGCTGCGTGGGGGTGGGAGGGGTGAGAGCCAGTAGCAGAAGGGATGACTTACTATTGCTGTCGACACAGGCAGGCCCTTGTTGTTGGAAATGGCTTTCTTGTTGCCTCATTGGTTGAAGCCTCAACAAATGTAGAAAGATGAACTGAGGGTCTCATCAGGGGCTGAGGGTTTCTAAGGTGGAGATCATTAGCAAGAATAATTCTTCTCCATGCATAGCATTTATCATCCCTGCCCTTGGCAGGAGCTGGTGGATCTAGTAGTTCCAGAGAAGAACAGTGGCAGAGGTCAGTCAGGATGTGAATGACAATTGCCAAATCCAAAGTTATTATTGCCTGCTCCCCTGCCCTCACCGCCTTCCTGAGAAAAGTTGGCCCGTTCAATTAGCTTAATGACATGGTGGGAGATGGTATTTTCAAACAGTGAAAACAGCTGGGCTGCGATCGCTGTGGTTTCTGGCATGAAGCATGTCTGGCAGCCTCAACTATGGCACAGGGACCTTATCAGCGTGACACACATTTTGGGAAATGCTATAATTCAGCATCGACACCTCGATCAATAGCGTCATTTTGTGCTGCCTTCCCAGGGAAACAGACAAGGTATTAGCCTCAAACAGCTCAGCAGTCTCTGCAGTGGCAGTGGGTACTTGTCCCTATCCCCCATTCTGGTTCTGCTGGTTGCTATGTGTGGCTCTGCCATCTACTGCACACACTGTCTGAGTGCGAGCTCTGAAGTCAGGCATGGGCTCAAGTCCTGCTCTACCACTCAATCCCAGTGTAATCCTGGGCAAGTTACTTAATTATTCACCTTCCTCCTCTTAAGAAATGATACTGACAGTCAAGTGTTATGGGTGTAAAACCATAAAGAGAATGTATATAACGAGTTCTGGTCCCCGCCTGGTGTACTGGAAATTTCCCCTAAGTGTTAGCTGTTGGGGCTGTCCTCTCTTCTCTCTCCTTTTCTTTTATTCTGCTCTCTTTTGGTCTGTGTCTCTGTCTCTGTGTACCCATCACCAAACCTTTCTTAGTATCTGTCTCTGCTTTGGTCTTTGTCAGTTTGTTTCTGCTTTTAGTTCCTCTCTCTCTCCTCTGTGCTCTCTGGGTCTCTTCGTCTCGGCCTTCATTTCTTACTCTATCCCTCTCCTTGGCTATTTAATATTTCCTGGAAGCTTAGACTTGAGGCATTATGGTATCAGAGGGTTTTCAAGTCTTGTGCAGGGAAAATGAACTCTCCTGAATGGTGATCACCATAGGCTCAGTGAAGCTCGAACTGTGAAATCTAGAGTTTACTACTTAATTATCTTGCCTGATGCTGTGCCAACTTGACTGGGCTGGCAAAGCAACCTGCCAGTCAGGAGCCATTCTCCACCTTCCCATTGAACATGGAGATGCAGCTGGGTGCTAAAAATAGGCATCAGGAGGCTGGGGCAGCTCAGAGCAGGGGACAAGCTAAAAATACACTTCTGACAATGCGGCCTTCCTGTGCCCCACAGACTGCAGGCTGGCAGGGGCATGGGGCTTCAGGAACCCTGGGATCTGCAGCTGCGTGGCCCCAGCTGGGCAGGGGGAGGATGGGGCAGAAGGAACACAGGCAGACGCTCGAGGCTGGCGGGTCCATCAGTAACTTGGGAGGCACAGCAGGCTACAGAGTCAGTCACAGAAGCTGTGAGGCTGCAGAGCACACTTAGGCAGTGAGATGGTTTATGACTGCCACCCCCAGAGCCAGTGAGAAGGGAGATCAGCTGTGGGCACCTGGGTACATCCAAGGCTCCTTTGGCTTTGTCTCTTCACTCTGGCCTCTGTGATTCCCCCCGAAGACTACAACTGCATTCACTCTTTCCTTATGAACTCTTCTATTCCACCCACAGATGCCTCCTAGTCCCCAGAAGGGAGAGGTTTCCTGCCCTTCAACCTAGCCCCCAATCACGCAGTCACCCAGAGCTGCCATCCTCTCCAATAGAGAAGACAGACATTTATCTTTGCTGAGCACTGACTCTGGAAATCGCAGCAATCCTGGAGGTTGGTATTATTATTTTCTTCAAATTACAGATGAGGAAACTGAGGCTCAGGGAAGCACAGTAAGTTGCCTGAAGTCTGGCAGTGATTCAGTGAGAGACCAGATTTGAATCTCTTTTTGTCTGACTGTAACTTCTCTGCTCTGTCCTCTACATCAGTGGCTCTCAACCAAGGGTGGTTTGCCCCACAAGGGACCCTTGACAATGTCTGGAAATAGTTTTGGCTATTATAACTATGGGAGGGATTGCTATACTGGCTTCTAGTGGATAGGAGCCAGAAACACTGCTAAACATTCTACATTAACAGCCCCCCAAACCCCCGCCACAAGAAAAAGTTGCTAGCCCCAAATGTCGAGAGTGCTGAGATTGGGAAGTCTCTGGTCTTCATCATGCTGCATCAGTGCCTTGAAGCAAGTGGTTGTCAAACTTGGATCACATCAGAATTACCTAGGGAGATTGTTAAATCAGAGACTTGCACCCCACTCCCAGACACTCACATTCACTGAGTCTGTGGAAGCCCTCCTCCACCCTCCACCCTCATTCCAGGAAGTGCCCACTTAGATATTCCGTGTTTCCACTGGGAAACACTTTCCAAGAAAAGGGTGCAAAGGGGCAGATGCCAATGGACCCCGGACAGCTGCGAATGGACCCCTGACACAAGGTGAACACTTGGAAAACATTCCCTTGAAGGAACCAAGGAACCAGGTAGCCACAAAAGGTAAAACTCCTTTGGCCCAGAGCACCAGTTTTGTGGCCTCCCTCACCAGCATATCAATTACCTGAAAAATTGCTTACCTTGGCTCATGGTCAATGGAAGTGTGAATCAGTATGTCCTGCTCCCAACTCTTCTTCTGATACAAGCAAGGTGATACATAGCGCAGACGGGACTGTTTGGATTAGCAGCTAAAGTAAGAATGAGTGAAACCACAGGTGCATTGTCAAGATTAATATGCAGGCATCTTCAGAATTGGAATGGTACCAGGTAACATCATGCCTCAATAGGAAGAGTAATATGAATTGACTTGAGACAAAGGGAAAACAAATGGAAAGTGACAAGCACAAAGGGGAGCAGCAAGAACCAAGGCACTGAGCAACTAAGAATTCCATATGGCCCATCACGCAGCCTGCGCCCTTGGTTGTTTCTTCCCCATCATCCAGGAAAATTCCCCAGGACTAGGCTCCTAAGCATCTGGATAGACAAAGCACCCTGCACCATGTCAATAACACCTCCACTATTGTTGTCAATTTGGTTCAACAGATGTTTACCTCAGGCAGGGAAGATAAATGAGACACCATTGTAGGAAAGAAAAGCCAGGTGCTCTGAGCATCTTCGCTTCATAGGAATCACAATTAGGAGTGTGAGCAGAGGTCTGAGTCAGGCCTGCCCTCCTTCCTTCCTTCCTACCTTCCTTCCTTCCTTCCTTCCTTCCTTCTCACTCCTTCCCTCCCTCTCTTTCTCCTTCCTTCCCTGCCTGCCTTCTGAGAACATGCAACTGTGGGGGCCCTGGTGGAAAGCACCCTCCATCCAGACTGCTAGAGTATCCCTAAGCAAGGCTTATGGGGATGGGTTTTTATTTTGTGATTTGGGTTAGTGGCTGCTTTGCCTTTGTCTCTGCTGCTCAGATGGCAGGAACTTAGAGGTCCAGCAGGGCTCTATTAATTGGAGAATGCTACTGGATAAAGATAGGTGATCCTCAGAATCAAGAAGAAAATGAGTTTATACCCACAGGAAGAAGAATATTTTTAACTGTCAGGCTGACAAACTGGGAAATCTTGACGACCCAGAATTGGTGTGGGAGCAGGATTATACCAAATAGCTCTGATGTAGATCCTGCTTGCCGTAAATTTCTACTATCTGCCAGGCTACAGTAAGCGTTCAATAAATATCTGTTGAATGAGTAACTAAGCCCTCATTACACCAATGGAGATAAAGAATGGCAAGCCCTTTTCTTATAGCACACTTTCCATTGTGTTCTTTTTATTCTCATATCGGCTGTTTTATACATCATTGAAATCTAGAGAGATACCCAGATACCCAGACTCTTACAAATGTAAGACTCCCAACATGCACGGTGTCCAATTTATAGAGTAGCTTCCCAGCCTTGTCAGTATCTGCTGCTCATGGTAAATGTGTAGATTTGGTCTCAAGTTCCAATTCCTGTGGCTTCAGGTGTGATGGGGCTAGGCATGGATCCAACTCAAGCTGGGCCACTAATGCATGTAACAGATTTTTATTGAACTCCTAGGAATGCAAGCCATAGTGCCAAACAGGAAAGATACAAAAATGAGCAAAAAAGATGATCTCTTTTCATCTAAACCATATCCTACATTCAGAGAATGGCATCAGTCAAATCATAAAAAAACTATAAAATTTAGCTGTGATTAATTAAGTACCCTGGATGACAGTTACAGGACAAGATGTGATTGCTTGATAAAGTTGACGTAATGTAAGTTGAGGCAGCAAGAAAGTTTTCCCTTGAAGAAGTGACGTTTTAGCTCAGAGCAGATGGATAAGTAGGATTTAAAGATGGTGGAGTGAGTGTGTGTAGTTTTCTGGGGAGAGGCTTAAAATGATTCATCTCTGTGTCCCCGCTCAAATCTCATCTTCAATTGTAATCCCCAGGTGACAGGAGAGGGACCTGGTGGGAGGTGATTGAATCATGGGAGTAGTTTCCTCCATGCTGTTCTTGTGATAGTGAGCAACTTCCCATGAGATCTGATGGTTTAAAAGTGTGTGGCAGATCCCCCTTCAAGCTCTCTCTCTCTCTCTTCTCCTGCCACCATGTAAGATGTGCCTTGCTTCCTCTTCCCCTTCCACCAAGATTGTAAGTTTCCTGAGGCCTCCTCAGCCATATGGAACTGTGAGTCAATTAAACCTCTTTACAAATTACCCAGTCTCAGGTAATTCCTTATAGCAGTGTGAAAATGGACTAATACAGAAAATTGATGCTGGAAGAGTGGGGTACTGCTATAAAGATACCTGAAAATGTGGAAGCTACTCTGAAACTGGGTAATGGGCAGAGGTTGGAAGAGTTTGGAGGGCTTGGGAGAAAACAGGAAGATGTGGGAAAGTTTGGAAATTCCTACTGACTATTGAATGGTTTTGACCACAATCCTGATAGTGATACAGACAATGAACTTAGGCTGAGATGGTATCAGATGGAGATTAGGAACTTAGTGGGAACTGGAATAAAGGTCACTCTTGCTATGCTTTAGCAAAGAGACTGGCAGCATTTTGCCCCTGCCCTAGAGATATGTGGAACTTTGAACTTGACAGAGATAATTTAAGGTATCTAGAGGAAGAAATAACTAACCAGCAAAGCATTCAAGATGTTAACTGGCTGTTTCTAACAGCATATACTCATACGCACTCACAAAGAGATGATCTGAAATTGAAACTTATGTGCAAAAAGGAAGCAGAACATAAAAATTTGGAAAATTTGCAGCCTGACCATGCCGTAGAAAAGAAAAACCAGTTTTCTGGGGAGAAATTCACGCTGGCTGCAGACATTTGCATAAGCAACAAGGCACCAAATGTTAATAGCCACGATAATGGGGAAAATGTCTACAGGGCATTTCAGAGATCTTCATAGCAGCCCTTCCCATCACAGGCCCAGAAAACTAGGAGGGAAAAATGGTTTCATGGGCTGGGCCCAGGACTCCACTATTCTGTGTAGCCTCAGAATATGGTACCCTGTGTTCCAGCCACTCCAACTCCAGCCATGGTTAAAAGAGGCCAAGGTACAGCTTGGGTCATTACTTCAGAGGGTGCAAGCCCCAAGCATTGATAGCTTCCATATGTGTTGGGCCTATGAGTACACAGAAGACTAGAGTTGAGGTTTGGGAAGCTCCATCTAGATTTCAGATGATGTATGGAAACACCTGGATATCCAGGCAGAAGTTGGCTGCAGGGGTAAAGCCCTCATGGAGGACCTCTACTAGGTCAAGCAGAGGGGAAATGTGGGGTTAGAGTTCCCACACAGAGTCCACTAGGAAACTGCCTAGTGGAGCTATAAGAAGAGGGCTACCATCCTCCAGACCCCAGAGTGGTAGATCTACCTTGCACCATGCACCTAGAAAAGCCATGGGCACTCAATGCCAGCTGTGAAAGCAGCCATGGGGGCTGCACCCTGCAGAGTCACAGGGGTGGAGCTTCCTAAGGCCTTGGGAGCCCACCCCTTGCCTCAGTATGCCCTTGACGTGAGACATGGAATCAAAGGAGATTATTTCAGAGCTTTAAGATTTAATAGTTGCCCTCTGGATTTAATAGTTGCCCTTTGGATTTTGGACTCACATGGGGCCTGTAGCCCCTTGGTTTTGGCCAACTTCTCCCTTTTTGAATGGGAACATTTACCCAATGCCTGTACTCCCATTGTATCTTGGAAGTAAATAGCTTGCTTTTGGTTTACAGGCTCCTAGGCAGAAGGGACTTGTCTCAGGTGAGACTTTGAACTTGGACATTTGTTGTTGTTGTTGTTGTTGTTGTTGTTGTTTTTAATTTATTTTTTATTATTATTATACTTTGAGTTCTAGGGTACATGTGCATAACGTGTAGGTTTGTTACATATGTATACTTGTGCCATGTTGCTGTGCTGCACCCATCAACTCGACAGCACCCATCAACTCGTCATTTACATCAGGTATAACTCCCACTGCAATCCCTCCCCCCTCCCCCATCCCCCCTCCCCATGATAGACCCCGGTGTGTGATGTTCCCCTTCCCCAGTCCAAGTGATCTCATTGTTCAGTTCCCACCTATGAGCGAGAACATGCGGTGTTTGGTTTTCTGTTCTTGTGATAGTTTGCTAAGAATGATGGTTTCCAGCTGCATCCATGTCCCTACAAAGGACACAAACTCATCCTTTTTTATGGCTGCATATGAAAAAATGCTCATCATCACTGGCCATCAGAGAAATGCAAATCAAAACCACAATGAGATACCATCTCACACCAGTTAGAATGGCGATCATTAAAAAGTCAGGAAACAACAGGTGCTGGAGAGGAT